TGGAGGCCGCGAGGGGGGAGGCGCTTTTGCGCCAGGGGTCTGCCAGGGGAAATCAGCCTCCCACCCTCAATAGCAGTTTCTGTTTTATCCTCACGAACTTCTGGTGAGAGGATCTGAGCAGGACGTGAGAGGGGACCGAAGAGGAGCCCTAAGGTTTCTCCCAGGACCTCCACGCCCGCCAGGGTCAGGGGACACTGGACACCCCAAGAGTTCCTAGCTAGCACCCTCCTGGCACGGGCAGCAGATTCATCTGGGGGGGGGGCTTCCCATGCAGCGTGGGCCTCCCCATCCAGCGTGGGCCTCCCTATCCAGGGTGGACCTCCCCATCCAGGGGTCCTCCCTATTGGGGAGCTTTCCCATCCAGGACGGGCCTTCCCATCCAGGGTGGCCCTCCTCATCCAGTGGGGGGCCTCTCCATCTAGGAAAGGGCTTCCCCATGTATGGTGGGCTTCTAGGGGACCTCTCTGGGGTGAGGCCTCCTCATGTAGAGTGGGCCTCCTCCTGTAGGGTGGGCTTCCTCATACAGGGTGGCCTCCCTGTCAGGGGCCTCCCCATCCAGGATGGGTCGCTCCATCCAGAGGGCCTCCCCACCCAGGAGCATCTCCCTATCAGGGGGCCCCCCCATCTGGGATGGGCTTCGCCATCCAGGGGCCTTTCCATCTAGGGGGTCTGCCCATGTAGGGTGAGCCTCCCCGTGTAGGAGGGCCTCCCCATATATGGTGAGCATCTCCATGTCAGGTGGGCCTCCCCATTCAGGAGGGCCTCCCTATCGGGGGGTCTTCTCATCCAGGATTGGCCTCTTAATCCAGGGGGTCCTCTCCATCTGGGGGACCTCCCCATGTAGGGTAGGCCTCCCTATGTGCACATTCACAATTCCTGCCAGGCCCCATGTCTTCAGTGTATGGATCAGAGCGAGAAGCCCGCAGGGCCACCGAGGCTCAAGGGGTGTCTTCGACTGTGGCCCTAGCCCTGCCCCTGGCCCTCCCTGGAAATGTCCTGGCATTCTTCTGGGTTTGGGCTTTCTAATTTGTAAGATACATGAGGCAGGGGAGGGGCAAGTCAGCCGGGAGTTGGACTCTGGTATTTAAACGTCTATGCAGGATGCATCACTTGCAACAACGAGAGGAACTTTGTCTTCTGTGTTTGCAGCTCCAGGTTTCCCCAGGCCCTGGATGTGGGGTGGTTTGCCCAGCTGATTCGTTTACTGGTCAGTGTGAGCCCGCTCAAAAGCAGGGATCCAGTTCTGACATGTTCTGTTCCTTAAATAGCTTTAAAAAAATTAGTGAAAGTAATTAATGTGAATGTAGCCTAAATCAAATAAGTTCGGCACGTTAGCTAAATACATTGGTGAAACAAATGAAGGCATGCCTGTCCCACATCACCAAAATAGAATTATTTTGGCTTTTAAATTTCTTCCCTGTGAAATCATCTAGTTACATAAAGGGATAAATTGTTGGTTCTTTAACTTTTCCCACAGTATTCTAAGGCTTATATTAGAAGTGAAATACATATTTGTCTATTTATTTTTAGTAAACTAAAATCTAAAGCCTACTAAATAAGCGTTACCAAATAATTCATATTCTAAAATCTAATTGACTAAACTAATATGAATCATGGAATGCTGAAATGTGGTCAAATGGCATTCTGAAAAATGTTGTGTTGTTATTGTTTGGTTTTCAATGGTGAAATGATAACACTTCTTTTTCATTTTTAAACAAAAACACGTGTGGTCTCCCATCCCAAGCATGGAGTTTACCTCTCAGAGAAACTGTTAAGCAATTTCTCCTGTGTTCTTGACAAAATCGTCTATCAGCAATGTTAAAAAGTTTTGAATGAACACATTTTTGTATAAAATTTTGAATAGACAGGTTTTAAAATGTATATTAGCTGTGGCCAAATGTAGTGTTAACTTTTCACTTACAGTGTACATATTATCCCTACCAAAACTTGTTATAAAATAGTATGAATGGAAACCATTCTTTAGTAAACCATGACAGTTATAACCAAATGAACTTTGATTAATGAGCCACTGTCTTTTGACAAATGTTTTAGAGAAATTTGTTAATAAACTTGAAAGTAACCATTTTTACTTTTAAACTATAAAAGAGCAGTGATCCTGAAACTTTTACTTTGGCATGCATAAATAGGAAAAACAGCTGTTTGAATATATTTCTGATTTATTAAACATGCTGTTAAAAATTCATATGAAGGAAGCAATACAAGAAAATATTGAAGGCAGAAATTGATTCAATAATAACTTGAACTCAAAAAAGATCAGGATTCTGGTCTGTTTTACCCTGTGACTTTTACAAGACACACATTAGCTCTTCCTGTCCTTGGCAGGTATAAATAAACTAGGCTGTCTTTCAAGATCTGCTCTTCTAAAGTTTATAGAGAATGGTGACTGTTTAGGCCATAAGATGATGGTTTTCTTAAGAAAGCCATTTGATGCACCCTTGGCTTGTTTGATATTGGCTTCACTGGTAAAATAGTCGAGTGCAGGTTTTTAGGGCATCCTTTGTTCCATGTGACTGTGCATAAGATCCCTTTTTCAAATGAAGAGAACAAGGAGTCACAGGACAACCTGCCTGTGTCTGATGTGCTGATTCCTGTAACAACCACTACAGTTCATGATAGTAAAGTGACTTCTTTATTAGTTTGTTCCTACAAGACTTTAATTTCCTTCACATATAATCGATCATTCTCATTACTATCAGTTTACTATATCCCCCATGTTAATACATTCCTTTAGCAGTTTAGAAAGTTTGGTATTAGCTTTGTTTTGAAATCTGAGTAAGAACAACTCAGCCCAACTTAAAATAATAGGTGTTTTGATTCTGTTTTTTCTTGCTAAAGCTTGAACACATCCATGTATGCAAAACACTTTTAAAGTGCAAGTAGCTCAGATGATATACTGCGGGATCTATAAAAACTCATTCTCACTGATGACATCAGAAAGCTTTGCAGGAGGACCAGCTGTTCGGGCGGTGCTGGAATACTTTCTGTTTTCCTGTAGTCTTGCTTCATTCCCTTTATCCTAGTAACCCCTGGCGAAAACACTTCTGAACAGTCACGGCACTGACAGTTACTAGAGCCTATGGGACAGCTGTGATTTCACTTCCTTCTTCCTGGACCATTTCTCTATACTTCCTTCCTGTGATTTCTCTCTCATTCAAACTCTGCTGACAATCTGTAATTTTAAGCAACAGGAATTTTACCCTATTATTGATTTAATCATTAATTAAGCCAATAAGAATTCTAAATTATCCAATATAAACATTTCATAAGCACTGTTCTTGACTGCTTTTCAATGAATTAAACATTTATGAAGTCAGTGGCACTGTAGAGATAATTTGTTGGTTGGTATGAAAGTTTCAAAGATTAACAGAGCTTCTGACTTGGGATATTTACAATATAGCATTAAAATTAAGACAAGCATGCACATAATAAGAGAAAGTAAAGTAATGTTAAATGATGTAAGAGGTGTACAAAATACTCTTGAGGTAGAATGAAGGGCAGGTGGCTACAGATGAGAAGCAGGATTTCAGAAGGGCTGAAAGGGGTGGAATGGAGGGATGTGGCAGACATGGGATCAGGACGGCCAGATTCCAGAAGGTGCAAAAGTGTGGACTTCAGGATGTGACATCGTAGAGGACACTTATTAGGCTTCTTTCTGGATAACCATCCCTGATCTAAGGGGTTATAAGTATTCAGAGAAGCATCCACCCTAGTGACCCATTTTATACATTAGAAAGACAGGTTCGCTGGGCTCGGTGGCTCAGCCTGTAATCCCGTGCCTTTGGGAGGCTGAGGTGAGTGGATTGCCTGAGCCCATGGGTTCGAGACCCGCCTCATCTCTACAATAAATCAAAAAATCAGCCGGGGGTGGTAGCACATGCCTGTAATTCCATCTACTCAGAAGGCTGAGACGGATGGATCGCCAGGGCCCAGCAGGCGAGGCTGCGACCGAGTGATACTCCAACTCGAAAAAAAAAAAGAAAGACAGGTTCAAAGAGTTGTAGTTACTTGTCCCACATTCTCAACCAGAGCATGGAAGAGCTCCAGAGTCCTGTCTGGCTCCAAAGTCCTTCTGCAGACTTAAAATGAAAGCTAGAGATGTTGGTCAGAATCATTCATAGTTTCCATGTCACGGAATATCATGGCAAAGACTCTGTGTTTATTTATTTTTAAACAGAGAAAAATATGATATATGAAACCTTTCACTAAATAAACACTAACTTATAGATGAAAAACTTCTAGAGACAGACCACAGTTAAAGACATAATGAAATGTGGTTAGCCGGATGGTGGTGGTATTTGAAGGAAACAGAGTGGGAAAGGGAAGCAGAAAGTGTTGAGTTGGGGATGAGAGGACTTTGGTAATTTTAGATAAGAGGAAAGATTCTTTTGGGGAGAGGTAGATCGAGATCCAGCAATGCATCCTGGAAGTCCTTGATACTCAAAGCACATTTGATAAAAGTGTCCGATGGGCTGTGTTGTTACTATTTAGCCAGAGACCCAGAGTCTCCACCTGGCATTTGCCAGCCTGCTTCCCTGCACCTTTATTTTCTCCATATTAGAATGAAGAGGCTGGATGAGAGTCAACAGCTAGTTGTGGACCGTTGACTGTGGTCAGACGGGGAGAGCACTGTGCCAGGAGCCAAATTTGGTAAACCTTCATACTCTGCCAGACAAACTGTGGATGATTTCTATCTTGTTTTTGAAAAGGGGGACAATCAATTAGCATTTATGCATATTCTGATCATTGGGGTCTGCAAAACAGTACTGTTAGTATGAGATAACGGCAAGAAAATACTGATGGCAAAAGTAATTTCGGATTTGGGAGTGATTCCACTTGCCACTTGCTAAGGAGGCAGAGGTAAGTAGTCTTAGTCACTAACACAAAGATAGTGAAATCTGACTTATGCAGACTCAATGAGATGCTGAGAGGAAGACGACTTGTTGTGTGGTGCAGGGGACAGAGCGATTTTCTATCACTCTCCCTCAGACTGCTATAGGGCAGACCATGCTGGAGAAAGCCTTCACTGGGATGGGAGGAAACGGTCTGTGTCCTAAAGGGGAGGGTATGTCTAGATCCTTCCTCAGTAGCAGTTTTAGTTAGCACTGAATCTTACCCAGTGCTGGGCGACATGCTAAGTGTGATAGTTGCATTAGTATACTATTTAACTTCCATTTTTCTTAAAACTAGGGGGTACTACCATTATTACTCTCCTCCTACACTGGAAGAAAAAGATTTAGAAAGGATTAAGTAACTTATCCAAAGTCAGTTAGGCAAGAGAGTGTTGGAGCCAGGACTCTGTGGCTCCCAAGTCAGTGTTCATCAATTTAATTCCAGTGCTGGCTAAATTCACTGTGCTCTGTGACCACAGCCTGAACTCTTAATCCAGTGAGCATTGTGGGAAGAAGTCACAAGATAGTTGATATGTGTACCAGAAGAATAGGCTTCCTAATTCTGTAAGCAGAGGAAGAGTTGGGAGAGAAAATACAAGTCTAACCATAAAATTAAGTGTTGAAAAAAAAGTGAAAAAAAAACCCCAAAATAAAACATTAACTATTTGCTGGCAACTCAGAATACTATAAAATCATTCATAAACATAGAAATTATTTTTAAAGACATTTCCATTTATATTTATTGACAATTATGTATTAAACCCTGTGCTAGGCCATTGTTTTTATGAAGCACTGGCCAGACCGTGTGACTCTTAGAGCAATGGCCACCATGTTTTCCTAAGCTTTGGCCCCCTCCCCTACCTTAGGGAGGTGAATTTTGTCTCTTTTTCTCTCTCAGGCTCTCTCTTTCTCTAATTTACTGTTGAAATAAACTGTGTTTTCCAAACTAAAAAAGAAAAACACCCCGCGCTAAATGCTTTAAGAGAAACATGAACTTGTGTGTTACCACATCCCAATTTTTATTAAAAGTTTATATTTACCAATTTAAAAAATCCAATACATGCTGATAGTACTATCATATATGAGAAAAATCCATGTCCTGCCATTAAAATTTGGGCCGTCCCAAGACTCCCCTCTCCTCTTATGAGATCACGCAGCCACCCTTGAGCTCCTTGAAGGGGTTTTTGTCCTCCGGGATCCCCTTCACCAGCGGGTCCTCCCCAGAGCGCTCCTCCACGTAGTCACGCACTTCCTCGCAGCACTTGGACACCTGGGGCGGGGGGAAGAGAAAGCGTTCAGTGGGTTTTGAAAAGGACACTGCAGATTCTGAGGATGTGTAGAACAGAGCATCGTGGTGTGTCTAGTCAATGTGGCTCTCTCTGCTTCCTGCCAATGTGCAGGAGCTCTGCAGGAGAAAGAAGAGCTGACCCTGCCCCAGCCTCCCAGCTCACTGCAGGCAAAGGACAGACAGCTGGCCACACTCCGGTGGAGCTTCCTAGCAGACACCGCCTCCAGCCTCCTCAAAGGAGGCAAGACCCAGGGGTCAGAACACAGCTGGGGACTCAAGGCCAGAATGGGAACACCGATTGAATCTCTTTCCTCATTCCAAAAATGTGCCTTGTCAAGTGAAAAGGGAATGAATAATTATTAGATTCCAGGCTTATCACCACGCCTGGGTTCTCAGAGGTTCACATGAGCGAGTTCACACTAAACTAACCCACAGTGGTTGATCTTGGCAGGGCACCAACCAGGCTGCCATAGGTCGGGGACCTGGGCTGATGCATCCAGTGCACCTAGAGCATGGCCTGCGTTGCCGCACTCAGTCAGTGCCTATTTGCTGAGCAGAATCATTCATGTTGCCTGTGAGCTGGCTCCTCGCTCGTCTACACCATCATAGTCATGTGGTCATGAAAGATCGGGTTTTGGTGTTTCAAAGGACTCAGTCAGCACCTGTGAGGGCACCACACAACGCTCCTTCTAGAGAGAGGCAGTGCTCTCTGCATATGCAAAATAAATATGTGTTTGTGTGTGCACACATTCAACACACACATGGGGTCAAGCTTTCCATGATCTTTGAGCTTCAAGTTGTTTTGTTTCTGAGTAGTATAGCTCTCATGGCAGCAGTGCAGAACTATTTTTTGTAATCCATAAATTGTTTAACTAATTTGTCGGGTTTTTTTCCCTAAATGAAATATTTATGCTATTTTTATATGCAAATTTCAAGCAACTTTAGACATAAGACTTAACATTATTTTACAACTACTCAAGCTCATGAACAACATATTAGAACAGATTATTTTCCGTGTGAGCAAAGACGCGTTAGTCAGGCGCCTCCTCCGTGGGATGATCCTTGTAGATTTACAAACACTCTTGAAACATGAAGTCATTTAGATCTACTTTTCCCTTCCTCCATGGTCCCATGCCTTCCCCCAAAGGCCAACACTTTTGCCCATCCCCCCAGATGACAAGAACAGAAGTGTCAACCACTGTCCTTCACTCAGGGCTCGTGAGGGCTTGGTTTAGTAGTATTTGGCTAGGACTGAGGCTCTGAGGAGCAGGCTGTTGCCTGCAATGACATGTGTGTGCTCCACATTAGCTCAGTGGGGCTTATTATAAAAATGTGTGGTTAAACACAGGGTTGCCCGCCACGGTAGAAGGAGCATGGACACTGGAGTCAGGCCCCTCCGGGTGGACCTTAGGCTCTGCTCACGTACTAGCCCTGTGGCCTTAGTTAAGGGAGCTCCTCCAAGGTCAGAGGCCCTGTCTACAAAAAGGAGAAGCTTCCCTGGTTGCCTTAAATGCCTAACAAGTGCCTGGTACAAATCACATCAACCACATGGTGACTGTTTTTAGCTATTACCACAAAGATGCCATTAGTCATTGTCCAATACAGTGACTTTCAGTCCTTCCAATCTGTCGGCTCCAGAAACTCAATGCAAAGAATTATCTTGCTCTGATGATCCTAGTGCCTTAACAAAATCGACTGAGGCATGATATAAATGGGCCTGGTTCATAAATACAAAGAATGACTTTAAGAATAATGTAATGGTAGAAAGCACCCGGTGTAACTGGGCATGGCTTTCAGAGCTTTGCACACATAGTCCCCTGGTCTTCCCAATGCCCTCTGAATTAGATGCTGCCATTATCCTCATGCTGAGAAAACAGCGGCACTGGAAAGACAGTGAACTTGAGTGAGGGTTACACAGGCAAGGGTTGGGGTAGAGCCAGGATCTGAACCAGAAATATGGTCCCAGCATATGTCCACCAAACCATGCTGCATGCTACTGTGTCACCTGTGTAGAGGAAGAGATTCAGGACCTGGCAGTTCCATCACACACACACGTGTAGACACACACACACACACATTAACATTTATATCCCATTAAATTATATAATTCCTATCTATACTATGTATGTATATTAGACAAAATGCTTTTATCCCCTGAAAATTCATATGTTGAAATCCAGACCTCCAACACGGGGCCTTTGGGAAGTAAACAGGTCATAAGGACAAAGCCCTCACAAATAGGATCAGTGTCCTTATAAAAGAATCCCAGAGAGCTCAGAAAGCCCGGTTCACCAGGAGAAGAGACAGCAAAAAGCCGTTCATGAACAAGGGAGTAGGCCCTCACCAGACACCAGATCTGCTGGTGCCTTAATCTTGGATTATGCAACTTCCAGAACTGTGAGAGATGAATGTCTTTGGTTTATAAACCACACGGCATGTGGCATTCTGTCACAGCAGCCTCAACAGACTAAGGCAATATGTGTATAAGTGCGTATGTAAGCATATATAAACATGTGTGTGCATATAAGTATGTGCATATATAAGTATGTATGTCTGTGCATATAAGTGTGTGGGTGTATATAAATGCATGTTTGTAGCCGGGCTCGGTGGCTCAGCCCATAATCCCGCGCCTTTGGGAGGCTGAGGTGAGTGGATTGCCTGAGCCCGTGGGTTCAAGACCCGCCTGGGCAGCGAGACCTCATCTCTACAATAAATCAGAAAATCAGCCGGGCGTGGTAGCGCATGCCTGTAATTCCGGCTACTTGGAAGGCTGAGGCGGAAGGATCGCCGGAGCCCAGCAGGTCGAGGCTGTGGTGGCCGGAAGCGGCCACTGCACTCCAGTCTGGGCGACAGAGTGAGACTCTAACTCAAAAAATAAATAAATAAATGCATGTTTGTATCTGTAAATCTGAAGCTTCTGCAGCCAGCATTGAATTCATATTCACTGAACTCATTGAATTCTCCTGAGAGCAAGGAGACATTGAACGATGGGGAAAAGGAACCCCAACGTTGATGGCTGTTTACGTACATGACGTTTACCCCAAATAAACATTCCAAGGCAAACTTAGCGCAAGTGAATAACAGACATGGAGACAACCAGATTGCCTGCAAACAATTCTGAGGGTATAAATAGTTAATCAGTTCATGGATATTTCAAGTTAAGAAGGAAAAATAAGTCTTTGCATCCCCAAATATATTTTATTTACCCTGAATTATAAAGATAAGGACTTTAACTTATTTGGGATGTGTTCCAAGTTTTGTGCCAATTAATGATTTAGTTTTATCTTTACAATTTTATCTGAATGGAAGGGCAACAGGAAATGAAGCCAAAAACCTCAATTTTGATTGGGAGTAGGAGTTTCGAGCAAAGTATGAAGATGATATGAACTCCTCTTACTCAGTCTTGATAAAATGAGATGTTTTGGAAATACAAGCTGTGCTGCCATCCTTTTGTGGAGGAGTTTTGTTCCAATGACTTTTCTAAATTGGGGAAATCTGAAATATGTGTCTCCATCCTCCAAGATCCAGTCACTGTGGTTTGGTGGAGACTTTTATTTCTTTGCCATTTCTACTCCCCTGAATGACAGCGAACTCTTGGTAACCCTTTCCAAGATTTGCCAGATGTTTTTAGGAGGGACCAGTGAGTTCTGTGCTTGAACTCATCTTTATTTGCAAAAGAAGAAGAGAATGTCCTCATTTATTACTGACCATGACTGCTGGAGAGGAGGGACGGAGCCAAAAGTACTGTGGAAGTGGCAAAATGTTGCATTATCAAGAGATGCTCATCAGTTCAGAAGGGGAAGCATGGATGCCTGGGTGCATGGCTTCATTGTATGTCTCAGCTAAAGTATGGTCTTTGTCTCACATTCTTTTTGGTCTTCTCCTTTCTTCCTTCTCTCTTTCTCCCTTTCTCCCTTTTCTCTTTCTTTTACCCTTCCTTCTCTCCTTCCTTCCTTCCTTTCATCCTTCCTAATTCCTTCCTTCTGCCCTCCCTCCCTCCTGTTTCTTCCTTCCTAATTCCTTTTTCCTGCCCTCCCTTCCTTCTCTCCCTCCCTCCCTCCCTTCCTTCCTCCTTCCTTCCTTCCTTCTTTCCTTCCTTCCATCCATCTTTCTTTCCTCCCTTCCTCTTTCTTAACTCTTTAAAAATGTAAACACATTTTTAGCTTAGTGGTCATACAAAGTTAGGCTAAGTGTTAAGCTTTACTAAGGAAAATAGTCAGCAAACCCCCTTGATTTAGAGTCTGAATCAAGAGATAATTGTGATTATTAATATTCTTAATCTTTAATGATTTTCTACATGAACAATGTGTTCTTAACTCCATCTAGCCTTTCTCATCCATGTTTTCTGACCTGGAACTTCCACAGTATCTCAAGCTTAGAATAAAACTCAAAAGAAAGTGCCACTCACCAGCATTCTTTCCAGCGTCACCTCTTTCTTGAGCTGGTCAACTTGCATCTTCAGCTTGTCCTTCTCCGTCAGGTCCTCAATGTTGATCACAGGCATCTTTCACCTGCTAAAGAGGTAGAAGTTTAGCACACATCCCTGCGTGGCTGGACTTACTTCAAGTCCATCTCCCAGCACTGCCCTCAGCACTACTGACTTACGAAGTAAATTGTCTCTGGTTTTGTTTTAACTTCCCCACAATTACCAGTTTCTCGTGAGCTTTCTCTCTTAATGACTCTAACATGTCACACTAGCTTTGGGATTTTAAAGCCTCTGCATAATCTTCACTAATATGATTAAATCAAGTATTTGACCCTGAACACCTGTCAGTAGGTTTGTGGGGAGGGGTGAGTTTCGACAGTATGTGTTGTAAAATGCAGAAAGCTCCGCCTTTCCCCTGGTCTTTTGTGCAGTGTAAAATGTGGGGTTTCCTCCCCTCATCTTCAGTTCCAAAGTCTGCCACCATATGATGTATGCCATTTAGCTCTGTTTAAGGTCATTTGGAGGACTGGCCCTTTAATGCCCTAAATTGCTAGAGCATTTAATCTGGTATTAAAGGGGAACCATTAAAAAGTATCATTATAAGTTCATTATAAATAATGGATTGAAATGTGAACCATAAGATGGAAATATAGTAAACAGTCTTCTCAATCAGAAATAAACTAGTATATTACTTAGAAGTGTTTTTCCAAACAACATCTGGAATTTGTATGTACCTGCCACAGTGAATCTGATAATGATGAGTGAATGTTGCAGGTTGAAAGGGACATGGAGTCTGATTTGCAACGAGCATCACCCCAGAAGGAGAGACTCTGCCTTCCATGCCCTCAGCAACCCTCTTCTCCCAGTTAGATCAGTGGGTACTGGGAGAGACAACTCGACAGTGGTGGTGCTCCTACGAAATCACTAGAAAATATTCCACAGGAACCAAGTGGTGTCAGGTTTACAGTCTCTCCCTTGACAGGTCCCTCTTTTCCTCCTTTGTCTCTCCAGTCCAGTTTTTACAATAGAGTATTTTTATAAAAGCAGACATCTTCAGATCACATGCTGTTTCTGAGACAGAATACAATAGCGCATCTATGTGAAGATACTCTGCCCATAACATATCAGCAGTTACCTGATTTCCTTACCTAAATGGTGTTTTCCTTTCTAGCACCTTTGAGGAAATAATATTTCCCTTCCCAGTCTTAGAATATCCTGTTCTTCTCTGGAGAAGGCGGGGTTTAAGACAGCTTTAGGGATAAATGCCTGCCCAGGACAGCACCACACTCAGCGATTCTTATGCTCTTCATTTTTGCTATTCTGGTCTTCATTTTAAGAAACAATGTGACAATAAAATTTATTTTTTCCTGCCTAATACAGTAAATCCCCTACAGACCAACCTCCCAGCTGTGAACTGTCTTTTGTTTATTTGTTGTTTTTTTTGGGGGGGGGAAGCAGGATTTATTGAGAGGACAGAGAAGCTCCCAGAGTGTGAAAGGACCCAAGGGGGTTACCCAAGTTGTGAATTTTCAAATATGCGAATGTGCATTTGCATTATTTGGGGAGGAGCAGGAACAAAATGTAGACTGGTACATGAAGTTTGCTACCATGTCATCTATGATGAGGAAGAAAGATGTCATTGATAAAACCACTGTTTTATCAAGAAGGTAGATAGAATTGAATCCAACAAGGAACGAGCACCTGTGCCATCAACATCAGGCATGAGTGACATGGCAGCTGGCCCTCCGTCTGCCTATGATCCTTCAGCTCTGCCATCTCCCACCTCCTCTCCCTCCTCCAGTCAGCAGCTTTTCTTGCCTGTTCACTCGATGCCATCTTGGAAGGGGACTTGTTCATATGTAGGGGATTTAATGTAATTGCTTGGATTGAAATTCCGTTCTCAATTCCTTCAGACAATATATAAAACTCCCTGAGTATTGTTTACCTGTTGACATTGTTCCTTGTATAACTTTTCTTCATTTTGGAAAACTTCTCTTTCTGCTAGATAATGGCTCTGACACTTCAGTGTGTGCAAGAATCACTTCAGGTAACATGTGGAAACATGGAACTTCAGTTATTTTGATTTGGTAGGTCTGAGGTAAGGTTTAGAGTTTTATTTTCTCTGTTCCAGGAAGTCCTACCATATTCTTGCTGACTCAATAGCCATTCATTGGTACTTGCTAGCTGTGTGGCCTCTACCAAGTTACTTAACATGTCTGTGCTTCAGTTTACTGGGAAATGGGAGCAATGATATTCCCCACCCTCTAGATTTGTTGAGAGAATTAAACGGGGCTGACATAGGTGAGAACTGTATAACCATGCATAGCTCAGCGCAGACACTGGGAACACACTGGCTCTGTGTCTCTAGACTTCTTGAATGTGCTTCCTTACACAGCACTTGCTGACAGGTGAGATCACTTCAAGGATGTCACATGGCCACGACTTACCTCCTTTAATTTCCTGCAGAGCAGATGCACAGCAGATGCTTCTGTTGACCTTTTGCAGGGTGGGATACCCATTCTCCAGCAGCCACAGGTGTTGACGGTCAAGGACAAACATCATGCACAGCTTGGCCCTTGGCTGATGGGAGCTACTTCTCCTGGTGCTTCCTGGGAGGCAATTCTCCCATCTGGCCCCTGAAGTTGGCTTGTAGCAAAAGACTGACAGACATGGAATCCTGACAACCTAGCCTCCTGACCTCTAGGCTGAAAAACTTTGTCAAACTTGAGAACCTTCTAGAGCTCCTCATGGATTTAAAATGATACTGGACTTCTGAAATCACTTTTGACTAATTCCTGTGCCATTCTCTTTCCTCATCCCTTCAGAAGGTTCTCCTGAGTGCTCACCCTTGGTAATTCACTTAGACAAGAATCTCTGTCTTAGGCTCTGCTTCTAGGAAACACAACCTAGGACACAGCGGATTATGCAGGCCTTTGCAAGAGACCATTGCTTGCATAACTTTTACTTCCTCATTACTGCCTATTGTTCTGTATATTGTTTGGTGCATATGACATGAATATTTACCCAGGCATAGAAAAACTGCAAATCACCTAACTTCATTTCATTAATAAGTAGTTTCTCAACTTTAATATGCTGTGATTCGCCATGTTCAATATTATTTAAATGAAAAGCACTTTATTTAGAGAAAATTTATTCCTTTTTTTTTTTTGAGTTGGAGTCTCACTCGGTCACCCCGACTGGAGCGCAGTGGCCGCTCCCGGTCACCGCAGCCTTGCCTGCTGGGCTCTGGGCGATCCTTCCACCTCAGCCTTCCGAGTAGCCCGAATTACAGGCATGCGCTACCACGCCCGGCTGATTTTTTAATTTACTGTAGAGATGAGGTCTCACTGCCCAGGCAGGTCTCGAACCCGTGAGCTCAGGCAACCCACTCACCTCAGCCTCCCAAAGGCGCCGGATTACAGGCTGAGCCACTGAGCCTGGCTTGAGAAAATTTATTCTTAAAGGATTCAAGAAACCTTGCCAAATTTAACACCACAGGTGCATGAAAAAAAAATTGAAGGATAGGGATCCAAATGTCACTTCCCTCAAGGACTCAAAAAAGGACAGTGTACATTGTCTGCATGGAGCTTCCAAATGTTCAGAGTTATATTGGAGCCAAGGGTTCAAAAAAATTCTGTGTATGTAAGACTCATGAAAAATGGCAGCAGAGTGAAGCTTTTGACACAGGCATGTGTGTTCTGGTCTGGGTGTACTCTGCTGGTATGTTTCTCTCTGCTACTCTTCTTCAAAGTAGTGTAAAGGACTAGAGTTGTTATTTCTTCTTTTTTTTTTTGAGTTGGAGTCTCACTCTGTCGCCCAGACTGGAGTGCAGTGGCCGCTCCCGGACACCGCAGCCTCGACCTGCTGGGCTCCGGCGATCCTTCCGCCTCAGCCTTCCAAGGAGCCGGAATTACAGGCATGCGCTACCACGCCCGGCTGATTTTTTTATTTACTGTAGAGATGAGGTCTCACTGCCCAGGCGGATCTCGAACCCGCAGGCTCAGGCAATCCACTCACCTCAGTCTCCCAAAGGCGCAGGATTACAGGCTGAGCCACCGAGCCCGGCCTCTTCTTTTTTTTTTAATTTTTTTTTTTTTTAAGTTGGACTCTCACTCCGTCACCCAGACTGGAGTACAGTGGCTGCTTCCGGTCACTACAGCCTCGACTTACTGGGCTCCGGCGATCCTTCTACCTCAGCCTTCCAAGTAGCTGGAACTACAGGCAAGCGCTACCACGCCCGGCTAATTTTTGATTTTTTGTAGAGATGAGGTCTCACCAAGTTGCCTGGGCGGGTCTCGAACCCATGGGCTCATGCAATCCACTCACCTCAGCCTCCCAAAGCACGGGATTACAGGCTGAGCCATCAAGCCTGGCTGAGTTGTTATTTCAGACCCAGAATCACATAGAGGGTTCAGAGTTGATGATAATGGCATGAAGTCTTTCCCCTGCCCCTTGTGTTCTAAGCTTTCAGGTTGAACCACCTCTCTTCAAAAAGTCCTAAGAGGGGTGATAAGATTACTGACCCTATCACCAGCCATCCCCACCCACAGTGAGGGGAGGCTGAAGACCCACAGTCAAGCAAACAGCGGAATGGTCCCAGGTAAGAAAGAAGCATTTGCCCTTTGCTCTTTCTTTCCAGCCCTGCCATCAGAGGATCCAAGGTCCAAAACAGCAAAGACGAGAGGAGGAAGGGAAATACCTTAGAGCCATGTCCCAGCCACAGAGCCATGTTTCTCTGGGGTGGGGTGGGGTGAGGGTGGGGAAGGCGATACTGCCCCCTGGGGGAACTTTTGAAAACATGTCAGGTTGTTTATTCCACTTTTCCAGGGTTTCTGTGGGTATAGAAGAGGGATATTAGACACCTTGAACTGCCCAGAGCCCCACTGCAGAAGAGAAATGTGCCACATTCAGCACGACTGCCATGTATTGTATAAGACATTCACGCAGGTTAAAACCATATTTATGGTTATTTGAATCTTTGACCCTCCATTTTACATAGAAACATAACATGTTTTTCATGACTGTTATATACACTGAATTTTACAATAATGCATATATTTTATAAGTAAAGGGAAGAT